AGATTAAATCTCATAACATTACACATGTATATAGATATATATTGTTACGACATCGAGGTCACGTGACTAGTATCAAGCCACGTCGTTCTCGAACATTCACGTCCTTGCCTTAAATCTTGTGATCTTTCTAGATATAGTGTAGTCTTGTATATATAAGACCGGCCACGAAGCGACGGGGAGGTAATGAGTAATTGAATGTATGCGGACAGAATATTGTTGGCCACGTGAGACGTGAGTTATAGCCTTTGTTATAGAGCGACTGTTGAAATTAAGTGTATCGTAAAGTTGTATTCGGAAAGAATAAACCAGTTTTATTTAAGAACGAACTTGTGTCGCTAAAGTTTAGTCGGTAAGAATTTACAGAAAATTGACGAACGAACGGAGACGTAACAGTATCTAATCAAATTATAGGCAATTAATGCTTTTCAGTTCCATACAATGGAAAATAATTAAAATAAAAACGTTGGAAAATCAGTGGTCACAATCTTTCGGAAGATCTGAACAATGGTTAATGACTAATAAAGCTATGGGAACACATACAGAGATATTTTGGTTATCAAAGTATAAACCATAACCTCGCTCCGCCGTTTCTTTTCGAGGTTGCATGATTTTATACTGGATATCGTTAAACTTCACCTTCGAAAACTCGGAAAATTCTTCTCAGATCCAGAATGATCAACGATCCGGATCATTTTTTGTAGTGTGGTGAGGAATCTCAACCTTAATGTGCCCATGGAATTTGGTACAAATCTGAACACTTTACAGAGTTATTAACACAAAACTGCAAAAATGCCCTCTCTCCCCAATATAACAAATTCTTCAAAGCGATACAAAAAACGAATCCGAACCAAATTTGGGTTCGACTGTCCCATAATGACTTCCCATCCTGTGTAAAATTTTCGAGAACATCGGTCTATTAGTGTTCGAGATACACGCGCGGAAACACAGACAGATAAACACATGCGGACCCGATTGCAATAATTGAGGGTAATAAGCTTCACGTCTAACCTGCTGTCATATTTGTTATTTTTACTAGTTTTAGGCGACATTAAACGACTAATAGGACCAAAATACTGGATCATTTAATATATTCAACACAGATAAAAAAAAAATATGGCTGACTCTCTCTCTCTCTTTTTTTACACTAGATTTTCAAAGTGTTTAAGAAGCTGGCTTTCACTCAAAGATATAAAATAAGATGGTACTCAACTGGCGGGAAGACACACGATTAACATTACATTATGTAAATACTCCCAAGATAAATCAAAAATGTATGGACAAAATTTGGCGACCGCCATTTTAATCGTTACCTAGCTTTGGAACAAACAGAAAACTCCCTCCTCAACAGAAATTGGAAGTTACTTAAGATGGAATAGTTATAGAGTGGGTAATTACAAAAGTATATACCGTCTCAATATGAAAAACATCTATGCAATAAATTTTAAAATTTGCGTTACCATATTTCAAAAATATGTTTAATACTTTGCATGACTGGGATTCCTTTTCATTGAACCAAAATAAAAAGCATAATGAGAAACAAAAAATCTAAACTTTTAAAGTTGCTTTTACCATAACGTCTTCGGGTGATTCAGCGTTAAGTTTAAGGGCTTATAATGCTAAAATTCGGGTTTCATTCCCTGTGGTGGATACAGCGCAGAAACACCACTGTGAAGCTTTTCACTTAAAACAAAGTTGTAACAGTTATAAAAGCATAATGAGAAACAAAAAATCTAAACTTTTAAAGTTGCTTTTACCATAACGTCTTCGGGTGATTCAGCGTTAAGTTTAAGGGCTTATAATGCTAAAATTCGGGGTTCATTCCCTATGGTGGATACAGCGCAGAAACACCACTGTGAAGCTTTTCACTTAAAACAAAGTTATAACAGTTACTTTGTTTTGTTCTAAATCTATTCAAAATGGACAAATGTGTTCCAAACATTTCAGTAAATTTCGTCGAATTCCTGCACCCCTCAAAGGAATACTGAAGAAACCAAAGGAAAATTTTGACGATTTAGGAAATATGGAGGATAGCGAAAAACTTGTTACGATATCTTTTGAAGACAAAATTGAATCCATACCAGTCTAGTGAGTGAAATCTAAAAGTTATTTTACTGATGACATACAAATAACACAACATGCAAACAAGATAAAATTTTAAAAACTGAATGGTAAATTTTTGAAACTATTAATTTACAAAGTAACATTAACATTTAATTTTATAAATAAATAGCAAAACCATGACATTCCAAGTAGAACAACAAGCTATTTAATTCTCTACAGCTTTTGCAATATAGTTTACTACTATAAAACTTTGTTATCCAACCGAACAGCGTCCTTTCCAATATTTTAAAAAATAAAGTGGAAGATCACCTAAGATTTAAGTAAATAAAGTGACAATCTCCAGTCTAATTTTATTTAAACTTCGCAGATAGTTTTTGTCACATCTTTAAAATTACTCATAAATCAAATATATATATATATATTCAATTATAGGATTCAACAACCTTCTACCAATAAAATCGGATATGTAGTCGAAACTGAATCTTGCAATTAAAAAACCTTTAAAGATTGATAACATAAGTTACCTGTATTTGCACCCATTATCTTAAGGATGATTTTAATGCTATTAATATTAACGTAAAACCCACAGATGGTACCATATTACTTAATTTGATGTCAGATGACATACTTTCCCTTTCCTGTCGTTAAGAGGGTCATACTAACAATAATTCATTTTATAGGTGTTTTAGTGTTCAACCACACAAAAAGAAAAAAACACTACAGAGATTTTTTGTTGTTGTTGATTATGCTGATGACAACGAAATTAATAAGAATTAAAAATTTCCTAATGATCCCACTGAAAATTATTAAAATAAATGTTATCCAATCGTTCTATTTCCACGAACTTTCCAAGGTGCAGAAGAAAGAAGTATAACTGTGTAATAGTTTCTCACCTTTTCATAGCTATAACGACTTCGAGATTCTTGAAAGAAAAGAGGAAACACGAAGAATTAATGAAGCTTCTAAGCTACTAAAACGAAAATCCGATTTACTACAAAAACTTCAAGCAAAAGTTGAAGAACTAAGAGAACTTCAAAATTTCGAGAAACAGCTATTAGACATGCTCGGTACAGGTATTAAAATTGAGGAAAATAACTGCCCTCCAATTCCAACCAGTCCAAACTCTTATGAAAGTTTTTCTGAAGCATACTTTTCAAAATTTCTTTAAATTTGTAGGCCATCATTTGAGTTTCATTTTTATTTACTGTGTTGCAATCGATTTTCTATGTTCTGTACATTATTGTTCTCCTGTGAAAGTTGCTGTTCATATTATATAGATCTCTTTGTTCATTGCACTCCTTCACATCAGTTCCTATCACTCAGTATGCATTTTTCTTTTTTACCCCATTTTCTTTCTCTAAAAATTTGGACATGAATAAGCAATTTTTGCTGTCTCTGTCCAAATCTATATACCAAGTTTAACTATTTCACATATTTTAACTTTACAAGCCCTATGATAACCTAATATTCTATGCACTCAAAATCAGTATTAGTAGTAGTAGTAGAAGTAGTAATAGCCCTTAAATACAAAAGCACACAAACAAGTGGCCCCAAAATCACCTTTTTAGTTTGTAAAGGAAAATATAAACTATTTTTTGATACAACTATTTTAAACATTTTTTTGTAGACGTTTTCAAATTTAACACCACTCATTAGGTTCTAATCAAAGAACATTCATGAGAATGGGACTATATCAATTTTAAGGAAGTTGGTATTCCAGTCTTATTTAAACACAGAGATGAGACTGACTCCCAGATCAAGTTTATGTGGAAGTGAAAATTATTTGTTATTATCTGATGCTCAAACTGTTTATTCAAATCCAACAAGTTAGAATTTAGTATACTTTGGTAGCAAAGCAATTATTCACCTCCTAGGAAGGTTACTTGTTTTAAGGTCAGTCCGATTCTTGTCTAATTTGGTAGCATTTTGTGCGTCTATTCATTTATAGTATTATAAAAAATAGGCATTGCTCAAGTTAGACAAATGAAATATGGAAATTTAATATAATGCAAATAACTAGTCTGACTTTACAGTACATTTGAAGTTTGGAAACCGTTTACGAAATGCCATTATACATTGTATAGTGTACATGTACATTTTCATCACCAAAATAATGATAAAACAACTAATTTTTGATATATATGAAATTGTTTATTATACTTGTTCTTAGGTTATGCAACAAATGTGATATTTATGGAAATAAACTCTCTGTTAATCTAGGTTTCACAAGTACTTAAAAATATAAAAAAAGAAGATGAAACAAAATAATCAGTGTCCAATTTGATTGGTGCAATTATATGATATTTCCCCCAGTTTATCATTTTACATTTAAGCATTAAGCCAATAAATTTCCTCTTAAGGAAGACTTAAAAAATTTATTGATAATATTTACCATTAGCACCACAAAAATAAAACCAAGTGTTCACATTAGTTATGACATCAATATTATCAATCAGAATGAAATATTTTTTTGTCTCTTTTGGTTATATTACATAGTGTTCCTTCAGAAAAAGTGTCATTACCACTATCAGCATATTACACACTAACAACAATACTCCTTTCCAAACAGATGAGTTTGAGTTTTTTCTAGCACCCATGAAAGAGAAATCAGAGAAATATAAATTTAGATAACTCTTTATTGACCTCCATATAAAAAACACTTTGAAACAGTATCAAAAAATACATTTGATCTCAGAATTTCCCAACAAATTCTCTAAGACTAGAAAAAGAAGTAATATATATATTAGCCAACTTTTATTTAGATTCATAATTCCAATTAACACTTTCATAGAAACACCTTAAAATGTATCCCTTTTATCTTGCAATCAGTATGGCTTCTAACAATTATATACAAATGTCTTTTGTAATCTAATCTACACATTAAAAACTTTTGGCCTTACTACGTCAATTAAGCTTCTATTAGTACAGAGAAAGATGTGTTAAAAAAGTTTTCAATTAAATAAACGAAGCTTTTATGAGCTGTATTCAAACATACAGTACCTGTAAACTTGAGTAAAACATTTTAAGCTCAATTCAATTCTAAAATCACAACCTTTAATTTTATTTACTTTTCTATGAGAACTTGATCCAAGACACTTAATCACTAAAAATATTTTTGACAACTGATTAAAAAAATTCTGGTCATTCTGTAAACAAAATCTGAAATTAAATATGTATACACAAAACTTAACCTGAAAATTAAAGAATAGGAACTTAACTAATCTCGTTTAATATTTTTTGAATGATTCAAGATAAACTAAAATTTAAACCATTTAACCTATGTATGTTCTATTAAGAAAAATCACAGCAGTACATAATAACATGTCCAATAACATTCACAACAAACAGTTATTATTTTTGGTTATTTCTCAAGGAAGAAAAAAAAAATCTTAAAGATTTTAAATACAACTTTAAAAAAAGTGTGGTAAAATATTGCAATAGTTTTTGTATGAATTATTCTTAACTGATAAGGTACAAGCTTCAAACTGTACAACAGTTTATGAAATGCTGTTAATACACTTATATTTTTCACATAAGTATCTTTATTGGAATAAAGCAAGATAAATATTAACCCAACTTTAATATTGGTAAATACAAATACAAGACTTTTGGTTTGGAGAAAAATAAATATATCCAAATAAATTAAAACCAGGAATAAAAATATGGTAATACAAATAATTAAAATCTAACCTCTAAATAGTGAATTAAAGTAATTTGTTATTCACAGCATTTTCTTTAAAACTAAGTATTTATTAGCACCAGTTACATATATTACAGTACAAATTCACTCTTTTCATAAACAAGTTTCATTAATAAAGCTATTTTCCTCCTTAATTGCCTATAACTTGAAGTTCCACTCCTTTTCCAAATATTGTTTATGCATTTGTTTTTCTTTGGTCAAGGCTATGAATAAAAAAAAAAATCTTAAAGATTTTAAATACAACTTTAAAAAAGTGTGGTAAAATACTGCAATAGTTTTTGTATGAATTATTCTTAACTGATAATGTACAAGCTTCAAACTGTACAACAGTTTGTGAAATGCTGTTAATACACTTTTGTTTTCTGCTGAAATCCTATAACACTTACTTAAAATCAAAATATTAAGTACCACTAGTGTCCAGGTAATGCATCATCACATTTTATAGTCTTCAAGAAGACTTCAGATTTTGTAGGATTAGGCATTTAACACCTACTACAACTGTTTTTAACCCAATAATATCATTATATTATTCATCTTCTTATGTTTTCAACTTACAGATTGGTCAAGCATTCCAATCTTTATTCAAATATACATCAGTATAAAAATTTATCCCATAGTTTTGATTTGTCCTGCCTAAGATATAAATCCACTGATTTTTTTTTTCAAACATATTAAACTAGAATGAATTTTATTTCATAGGTAAAATACTGATATTCTCAACCCCATCCACAACTAATATTCTACACATTTAATTACCTTAAATTTTAAGAGAAAGGCAACATATAGTCGCAACAAATGATTAAATGCAGTAATTTTTTGAAAGTTGTACAAAATGTTTAATCTACATACAAAGTAATGCAAAATTATCTCACGTAATTGACTAGTTTTGTACCAGTTATCACTGACAAAAATTTGAGCTTTTCATGCACGTTTATGTAGGTATACCAGGGATACATTGTGTAAACTTGCCATTTAAGTACTGAAACAATGATTCTGTCAAAGGGAGTTAATTCCAAGTCAAATCTTTACATACTACTGCACGTAAAACTGCAAAATCCTTGGCTGTTCACCAAGTGTACTGTGAAGTACACATTGAGTAAATACAAGGAAACCCAAGACAAGGCAGGCAAAAGATAAATAAAGCTCACTAAATGAGATGCAGAGTATCTAAAAATTCATTCCCTTAAAAACAAATAGAAACTGCCAAAATAAACCTTGCTGATGACATTAACAAATCATACACAAAGTTTCAAGTATACTCTCAAAAATGTTACAGAAATGTGGCCTTTGGGAAAAGAGTAGCAGTCACAGTTTCTACTATACATAGAGAAAAATAGAAAAGGCTAGTTTTTGTGAAAGAATATGTATACTAGTCTTATTAATAGTACCACATCTTTGGACAGATGAGTCTAAATCTTAATATTTGGTAAAGAGTCAATTAGAGATTACAAAAGGAGTGCTTTCTACCAACAATAAAGCATGGAGTAGGCTCTGTGATCATCTGGCGGTGCAATATCTGCAAGTGATGTTGTCCATCTTCACAAAATTGATAGAATCATGGAACAGCATAACTACCAGTATTTCACTCCATCATGCTAAACCATTTGGAAAGAAGCTGACTGGGCAGTTTCATATTTGAAGAAGATAACGCCCCCAAACACTTCCAAGAAACATTGATCTTATTTGGTAAAGAAAGAAAACCCAGGAGATCTTCAGAGAATGGAATGGTCACCATAAAGTCCATTCCTTAAACCCACAGAACAAATCTAAGATTCGTTGGACTCCATGCTTGCAAAAAGTATCAATTGTACTAAAGAAAGCCTCTGGACACCTGCATTGTGCCTATAAGTTGTTATTAATGCCAAACATGATCACATATATATTTACATTTTAAAAAACTTAAAACATATCACTTCTAATGTTATATCAGTAATAAGCTTAATTATTAATAATTAAAAGTTAATTTCTATAGCAAATCAAACAATATTTTATGGGAAACTCACATAAAAGGTTATAATAAAGTTGCATGCTACCATTATATAATGTTTAGAGAAAAAAAACTAAAAAGCATTACAGATTTAATTATATATTTTTTGTAAACACAGAGGGTTGAGAACGTTATATTAAAATAACTTTGAGTATGCAAAACAGCATATGACAACCACAGCAAATATAAAGTCACAGTAGAATAGAATGTATCACAACTACATTTTTAATTTGTTTGGCATTTCATAGGTCACTTTTAGGAAGGGTATGTAACAACCCTTTTAGACAAAAATATTCATACTATAATATCACAAAGAGATGTTTGAATTGGGGCTTTAGAATTTCCAAGATAGGGACATCTGCTGTATATAATGGCATTGGAAAACAAAGGAACATGGATCAATTTTAAACACTAGGACCATCACAAAAGAGACCTGCAACAAGTCATATCCCAGCCATCATAAGCAAGATGTAGTGTCTTCCAAAAGGTGAGAATCTAGAATACAAAGGCCAATAGCAAAAGCCATCCACAAGTTCCAGACAACAGTATGCATCAAAATAAATAAAATCTCCATCTGGAAACTTACCAAGTGATATGTGAACAAGTTGCTTCCATAACTTATCCATGTAACTGTCACACACCTCAAGCAGTTGGAGAATTAAACAGGTATTCATGCTATTCCATATGTGGATTTACTAGTCAAGTCACTGGATGCAGTGGCCTTTTGATTTCTGTAAAATCAGACTGCTAAAACAGGTACCGAAGAACAATAATCCTTGTACAGTAGACGAGTTATGAAAAAATGCAAGAAAGAGCCTTACAACAAAACCTTTTACAATGGAGATCACACTGCAGGGCTACTGTCATGATGAATGGTCATCAGATATTGCATGACCAGACATAGTGACATGGAATTTAATGAGATGGTGAGGCTCCAAATCATTTTAATATAAATGTACTCAACCTCTGTAATATGTAAAATGCTTAAAGATGATTATTTTTTTCTTCTTTTACTACAAGTAAAACTTTAAAATTATAGAGTAAGACAATTATGAAACATACTAATAACTGTAAGTTATCACAAGAAATAATGTACTGAATAATAATAATAAATGACCAAAATAGTACTAACCCTTATCTCTGGAAACAACTATCTAAAATACTAAAACTAAAATTATAGAAGATACACAACCCTTACTGTAATCTCTGAAAATAAATTTACCAAATTAACGAATAAAACTAAAAAATTAAAAAGAATAAGCCTACTTTTTATTTTCACAGAAAAAAACAAATGCTAATTCTTCATACAAACAAAGAGTTCATATACTGTATTTTATCAATTTTCTGCATATCATTTCACAATGCATTTAGATAGCCTAAAAGGTAGGCAGCTGTCCTGGAACAATTATCTACCACTTCCTTAAACTGACAACATATAAAAATCAATCACATGTCTGAATACTTTGAAGACAATTACTAATTTGCAACATGTGATATTTATAAAGATGTTTAATGTAATTACCACAAACTGAGTTTTAATCTGAATGGTACTGTAATTATTAAGATGTGTACATTACGTTGAATGGTTCTGCTCTGTTAGGTTTGCTTGTACAATCAGAACTGAAGGACAAAGCTAAACACACACTACATGATTTGAAGATAACTAGGAAATTTACCCGAAATGGCAGATAGAATCTTTTGTCTTGGAACCGGAGGAATGTTCAAGTCCTGCAAATCTTTACTGGTTAGCTTAAGGAATGTTGCAAGGTCAATCTAGATAGAAAGGAAGAATAACTTAAAGTCTTATGAACAATACATTTTTATGACTCATTGTTATATTCAACTACAATTAATTCACTGTTTTGTCAACTGTAAAGTACAAATGTTTGGCAATAACTACATATGTTGAAGATATCTTTGATTAACTGTTTCACAATAAATCATTACTGTAACCCTTAATATATGAATTTTTCTCTGCAGGTAATGTTAAACATTAAAAATTTCTCATTTAATTAGAAAAAAAATAACATTCATTTCTATAGCTAAACTGCTTTAAATAAAAATACTAGAAATATTTTAATAATAACACCATAAACCAACTCTAATCTAGAAATTCAGTATTTTTGGTTTTTCTTAAAAAATGAAAACAAGTTGAACAAATCAAAAAGTTCAGTGTTGTATAAATCAGCATGTAAAACTCACAATTCACCTCTTTATACATTTAGCTTATGCAAAAGTTACCTCATTTTGTTGGAAAACATCTACATACTTCAACATTCCTAGCCTGCATAGCAATTGAGGAACATCACTGACATTGCCCAGAGCAGATAACAGAGGTCTGCATGGATAGTAGTCAAAGCAATTACTGCTACTAAATAGTGAATTTCCTAGGAAGAAAATACAGTTTCACTACCAATGATAATAACATTTTCTAGAAAGTTTCACATGTATACATAGCAATAAAGAATCATCTTGCAAAGTTCAATGGATTTAATCCTTCAGGTTCTCTGGATATTATGTTTTTTTATATACTAGTGTAGATTTTCATCAAAATAGATGGTTGAGGCTTGTTAATATTTAAGATGAATAATGTTTCTACATTTGTTTATTTAAAACAAATAAAAAAAACTATACAGAAAATGATATTCCAAAAAACAAAGGATCAAGAGAAAAAGAAAAGTATTGGAAAAGAAACCCAATGACCCAAACACTTTGAAAAAGTGGACTCAGGCTTTTGAATTTGTTTTCCAATATAGTGTATCAGTTACACAAAACCCAGACAAACTTTAGAAGCAATTCTGAACAGTTCCACACTAATGCACAGAAACCTAATATATTTATTTTGCCACTTCTTTCTGATCAGGAGAAAAAGGTTTGCAAGGTTTTCACTATGTCATGTCAGACAAAGATAGAGAGATGATGGCTATTCTACATACAGTTAACAGTAACTCTTTACTTTCTTATATCAATTTGTATTAGTAGGTAAACATTTTTATTGATAATACTCCATTTTTTTTTATTTTTTTTATCTTTGAATTCTTAATATTTATTTTTAGAATAACCATAATATTGCATGTAGTAACAAGAATAACACTCAAAACATGAAATATTTTAAAGCTTAACAGTATGAATTTCTTCTATGTATTATAAATATTGCTCATTTTGAAACCTAAAACAGTAGTAAAATAGTATAGGACACTCATGAACAGCAGAAGCATATTCAATTCTTTGTTTAACTCTTTCACTGCCACATTTATAGATAAAATCTCCCATACTGGCAGGTTTATTAAATATTTTAAATTTGGAATTTTGTACCACTGTGAAGAAAAGGCATTATTGTTGTTATATATGCCAATGGCAGTGAAAGTAATGGATAATGAATTTTTGATTAAAAGACAACTTTAAATTAGAACTTTTTTGCTAATTACTTATCTGTTTTTTATTATTATTATTATTATGAAACATAATAAGCATGGCCAAATATAAAAATAAAGAAGCAGTTTAACAAACATGTATAAGAAAATACTACCAAACTGATGAAATTTAACTCACTTTCTCACACCTTTCTAGAACATTTTTTTTATTTATTTTTTTTATAAAATAGCATACAAGATACATGCTACACTGCAGTACTTAGTAAGTGATTAGACCCAACAATGCATAATCCAGGGGGTTACCAGCATTTACTTTGCTGCCAACAACCAAGTTGAATCATAGAACACAGAATGTCTGTAAAGACAATATCAGTACTGGCTCAACATAAGAAAGTCTTTGCAAACAAGCTCTAAAAAAAATATTCTTAGACAGTGATATTTTAGCTAAGCTACACATGGGGCTATCTGTGCAGTTTTGGAATGACAAACAAAAATATGAACAGCATTAGTCAACACTACCCACCAATGAACATTTGAGCATGATTTAAACTCTTGAGTTTACAGTTCAGCAGCAAAGAAATAATACAGACAGACAGACAGACACACACACATCCAGTGGTGGAAACATTCAATTTTTCACACTTTTCTTCAAAATCATTGTCTGTTTTGAGATCCTAATGCATGTAGGTGCAAATGTGTTTTGTGAATGATGAAATACCAATTATGACATCAGCAGTTTTATAGGCTGTCTGGGTATTGCATCAGATCTTGTTTGGTTCTTACAGAGAGTCAGTTTAGCAGACTATCTGCTATGACACGTATACAATACTACTATGGCCAAGGGTTGCGAGGTAACTCCACAAAAAAAAAAAGCAGTCACTGTTTCTTTGGGAAAAGAGGGACTTTTGACAAGGCAGATTGCTAGAAGAATTAAGTTTAATCAGTCTACTGTGAGCCACTGGGTGAAAAGATATAAAGAGACTGGCTGTGTGAAGCAACAGAAGGAAAATTTTCACAGCAGCTGAAATGTATGAGCCTGCAGAATCATTGACTGTCATCCACAGATCTCAGTAAAGCATGGCAGGAAATGTCAAGAGTTACTGTCACAGCATACACAGTCTGGTCCGTGTTCAGCCATTCTCCCAGCAAGATGGCCAAGAATGAAATTCCGCCTCACCAACAAGATGAGGAAGATAAGACTCAACCAGGTCAAAGAGCATGCTGACTCGACTGAAGCCATGTGGAGCAAAATGATCTTTTCAGATGAACCAAAATTCAGCCTGCATAGGTCTGATGGAAAGCACTTTGTATGATGTTAGTGTGGAGAAGTTCCATCCAGTATGTTTGAATGCAACTGTGAAGCATCAGTAGAATCATGTGATATGGGGATGTATCTCTGGCCAAGGTATGAGGCACCTGCATTTTGGGCACTGTCAATGCTGACAAGTACATAGAGATCGTAGAGTCTCAGTTAAAGCCAATATTTTGGGATCACTTCAGTGGAGCTGACCAGTGTCCATTCCAGAATTACACTACTCCATGCTACAGGGCTAAAAATATTGGTAGTTTTCATGCACTATGCAATAGATATGAAATATAAGATATTTCCTTTTACATGTATTGAAAAGCCCAGATCTCATCCCTCAAAAACTGCTGGAAGGTAATGGGTATTTTTTTTTTCTTCAAACATTTCTTGGTTCCTGTACTTTTTTACAAGATTATGCATTGTGGAAGTGTCAGAACTAGCGTAAAATGGTTATGGACATTGTATGGTGTAAGCTGATTCATATTTCAGTCATCCAACCACACATGCATCTTTATCAAGAAACCAACCAACAAAAAGTAATTAGTCTGTTTCTTGTTTTAATATTTTGTTGTGCTCTCTCTGGCATAGAGTGCATGAATGAAGGCAGGGATGAGTTCATGATGCCATGCACAGATTAGCACTACTTGCAGTTCCAAAGTATGTCTTGGTTTCTTTTCTTGCACTTTGATAGGTGATGCAATTATTTCATGTGTATGAGATGGGGGGAGGGGAACCACACATTTATTTCAACTTACTGTGTCTACTCAAGTCATTATCCTGTCCATAACCACATCTTATTGCTTCCCGAGATTTATCCAGATTAGATGCACCATAGGTATTATAACTCCAGATACTATCCATCTGACTTAAGACATCTTTTTCTTCCTAAAGAGAAACATAACTTGTCACTATACCGTGCTTCATTCCTGTACAATACTAATCTAACAACACAATATATTGATTTTTCACACACTTTAAAACAGTACAATTGATTTCATCGTTTTTAATTGCTTAATTAAAGTAAAAATAGTTATTTTCTCTATAACTTACTTTAAGTGTTTAAATTTTTTACCAAAGAGTTACAACAAATATTTTTTCTAACTGAAAATTTCTTTGGCAACACAATTCATTGTTAACATTACAAATATTAAAATTTGCTAATATATTTCTTACATATATCATTCCATACTCTACAAATTACTGAAAAGTAATGAATAATTATAGGCAATAATAAACTTCTAGTCTGAAAAGTTTTAAATAAACTAATTGCATTCCTTTAAAGTTATGCTAAATTGATATACTTAAAAGGTGTATGCAAGCCAAGAAAAAAACCTAAATGAATAAAATAAGTTAATGAATTTAATGTCATCTGCTCAATGCACAAAAATATGTCAAATAAGTTTTATTTTCAACTAAATTGAACAATTTCATAATTTTATCCAAAATCTATTTTGATCTTTCACTTTCAGAAGCAATTGAGCCAAAATAATGATGTTTAGTCAGTAATACATCCACTTAATTTGTTACATTTATAAAAAGTTCAAGTCACTCCCTCATATACAATATTTGCATCACAATGTTCATGTATAGTTCTGATATCATTTTGTCATCTTGCCCCCTCTGTAGTATATCCTGTAGATTCCTATGCATCTTCTTGAAGTGTTTTACATCAAGTAGCTTAATGAATCAAACTTTTTAACCTATTGGAATCCAAACTAACGTGTAAAGTATTTCACAGCATATATAATTAGCATTGCAAAGAATATTTGGTTTCTCATCATCCAGCCTAACTGACAAGTTCTGGTACTAAATGAAAGGCCCCTTGGACAATGACAAAAGATAGATCTGAAACGTTGTTTTTAAGTACCTCTGATTTTGAATCCACAATGAACAAATTAAGAATTTGGAGAAAAAAAAACATCTGCAGTTTATGCAATTTCTATTACAAATTTTAGGCCTATCAAGTAATATTAATACTTGTTTACTAGAGCTACATGATGATTTAGCAAAATATTCTCATACTATTCTATTTCAACTATGAGCAAAACAAGTTAAGTTTGATGTATTAGTGAGAAAACAAATGTTTACAAGAAATATGGGACTATTTTAGATATTTCCATGTTGATGACAGTAAGTCATTATGCATAGCATGAAAGAAACAAATTCCAGCTAAATAAGATATATTCAAGTTTGAATACCTCTAGTGAAGTACATGCTAGGTTATCAAAAGGCATTTTTTGGAACTTTAAATATAGCTAGTGATGAATTTAAAACAAATTTTAATTATATTCATATTTCAGCAGCATTTTGGAGTGGTAATACCTAAAATATGTATGTAAGCATCAACAAATACCATTTGCTTTGAATGTGCTAACCTCATATCTTTGGTCTAAGTGGTGTAAGTAAATAAGCACACTTTTTCTTTGAAATTAACACAAATAATAATAATAATGCATTATTACATGCCATCACACACACCATTCAAAATCAGGTGTCTTATTCTAGAAGTCTTATTCTTGTTGACAAGTTCTTTCTATTAGCTCTTACAATTTTAAAACTTTTTTTTTTTTTTTTTTATCCAGTCATAATTCTTTACAATAAGGATACAAAATACAGGAAATCTTAGATTTGTTTTCAATAAGAAGTTTACTATCAGCAATTTTAAATATGATAAAACAGGTAGTTGGATTACCAAACTGTGTCCCCCCTTTTTTTTTAACCTCTACAATATTTTAATTTTATGGATAAATTTCATGTTCTTACATCCTAATTAGCTTGTTGATAGTCACAAATTAGGCAAAGTTTTTGAGAATTAGAGCATGTCTCACACGTATAATGTACAAAACTATCTTCCCTCTCTACTTACTGTAAAATTCTGATTGTACATACATAGCGAAAGCAAAAATTAGAGGTTGTTTCCTACATAAAGTACTATGATAATAAATCATGAAGATTGGACAAACTACACAAGATTAGTGAAGACTGCAACAATGGGAGACAAATATCAAGCAAATTATATCATAACAAAAAAACATTCTAACCTGTACAGTTTCTGGAATAGAAGGTTTTTTTAATCCAGTCTGCCACTTCTGTTTGATGACAGTCTCTGGCAAAGACTTTGAAAATCCAAATCCAGACCAAATGTTAGTTGGTTTTCGAGCTTCCGAGCTCAATGGCTTCTGCACAGCTATATTTACAAAAGATATGGTATACAACGAACATCTTAATTATCAAGCATATTCTAGCCTAGACCATTTAACATGCACCAACTGTTTTATTACTCTGAACCTCTCACCATGAAACTAAGTGACTAAAAACTACTTATGTGTCAAACTTAACTGATTTATGTAATTGAGTTTATTTTAAACAGTTCAAGTTTTCATTAGTCACTTACATACTGATTTTATTTTCTTTACTTTGTCCAATAGACAGAAACAATAACAAAAGATTTAATAATTCAATCACACACAAATTTTGTCCAAGAACATGCTTATCTAGTGAAATAGTATTTTAAAAGATGGGGGGGAGGCATGAAATAAAATATGAATACAGAATGTGTAGTAAGACTAAACTTCCTTTTTCTACCATACATGTGGAAGGCTGAAAAGTAAAACAAGTGGATGAAAGATACCAAATGGCTCATTAACACAACTTCTTTAAGTGATACACACTTTCTCTTCTGATTTACTTTAACAGTTAAATAGATATTAATAGACTGAAAATCATTTAAAAATGAGCTGTAAATTAGTAAAATCAAAAAGAGCAAAATTTAGTTATTGTAGCTAAATCAGATTATGAAACAAAAAAAACTTTGTTGGGAAAATATAATACATTAAAAAAAAATCAGTTGCACATTAAGAAAAATACTACTACTATATCAACCAAAATATAAGCAAAAATACAATTGTGCCTAATCATTGATAACAATTTTCTATTGAATCACCAGTTTTGTCATAAGGGCATAATTCAAACACAAAAATATTAAATTGTGTAAAGGTCATTTTCAGACCTGTGAAGAAAATTGGAGGTAAAAAGATGCACAAAGACACACACACAAAGGGAAAAAAAAGGGACTCATACAATGATAGGGACAGGTTTTTCAAATTTGGAAAAAAAAAAAAAGTAGTTTAAGGAAAAAAATATATTTGTGAAAAAAATTTCACATTTTGATGAAATAAGCTGCTTTCTATTTTGTATTAACTTGTATAAAATCATGCATTAATTTGATCATTGATCTTAGTGGTTCAAATGTGAAAATAGTTTTTTTAATTACTAATATTCTGAAAATACCAAGAAAATATGGCATACGTGTTGATGCTGATCACCTAAGTTTGACGTTTTTATAAGTCATCTCTACACTACACAAAATACCAATTAATCAGCAATAATACTACGTGAAATTGTTCTAAAATATAGTGTCACAATAAAGTTTTCTTCAGCAACCTTACACAGCAAACTGCACTATTAATAGTGTAGAATTATGATCCTTCAACACTTTCTTTAAACATTTACCCTTGAGAAAAAGTAAATATGTAAATCAACCTTTTATTTTTTTAGTAAATCATCTATTCCCCTCTTAAATTATTGTAAAGTACGAGCTTCTACTACAGGTGACAGCAATTTACACCCTAAGCTAAACTTTTAAGAAAAGTAGAGCTGTGTTACCTAAAGCCTAGCCTTTCTTTAATAAATCTTACAAACTTTTTTTAAAAGGAGTAAACTACCCTGTCATCGACATAAAATACTTTTTTTTTGTTAAAGCAAATTTTTTGACTATCTTACTGCAGGGTGGCCCCATAAAGAAGTTGAGATTTCACAGTTATAAAAAAATCTTTGATGTTAATGATGTAAGTGCACTCATTTATTTGAAAAATTAATTTCTTTTCATCAAAATAAATAAATATTAAATCTTGCATGTCCTCTCATTTTTGTCTTCAGAATACAGCAGAAACAAATTAGATAACCTTATATTAGTCAATAAAATTACCCATTACCCTTATTTTCAAGAGAAAGTACAGACACCCTAATTTATACCCATAAGATACCCTTCTATCCCTGTAATCATCATAAAAGCCATTCTCTGAACACTTTCCACATAGTTTTCTTTCTTTGATAAGGACCAAACTACACAATATTCCAAGTGAAGCCTAATCAGTGATTTGCATAAAGAGATAGAGACAATTAACTCTTGACTTTTAATCAATATGTCTGTATATAAATCCTAAAATTCTATTAATAGAGTACTTACGCCCTCAACAGTTTTCTGCAGCCATGCTTTTTAATGGAATCCAAATTACCAACTATGTGAAATGTGGGACTCGTATTATAAGAACCCATATATTATCAGTACAGAATGACAGAACTAATGACAGAACATAAATAGTTATATTATTCAATGCAAATTCTTTAATATTTAAACAATTAAAATATAATTAAAATATTTTTTTACAAATCAAAATTAAAGAGAACAAAATACCTTTGGTAGCAAGTAATTTTCTTTCTTCATAGTTGAATGGGAAGGAATCCTGTATATTTTTTCTTTCGCAGCCTACAGTACCTATGTCTTTCTCACTTGAGTAACCTGTAGCGCCAAGATTGCTGTCATTATGAATGCTAAATAAAAAAAAAAATACAAATAATGAAATTTAGTATTTTAGATATTTCTCCAACATTAAACGTAATAAAAATTCAACAAAAAACCTTCTCAAAAGTTACCTGTACAGCTCAAAGCTTAAAAAAACGTTAACTAAGTAATGAAGCCCATTCTATATAAAACAACAAAAATAACTGGAGGAACTTATTGTAACTAGTCAGTACACAAGAAAAATAAAATCTAAAGTTATTACAGTACACAATTATCAGGCAAAAGAAGCTTTCAAAACGTTTAAATCACTGATCTATGGCTTCTCAAAGCTGAGATATAGACAGCTTAGAAATAGCCGTTGGTTAAAATTACACTTATGCTGAAATTACAAGGTCCAAATTAGCACTTTTATCTTAAAAATAAAATAAAACAATTTCTGTTACGATTGCAGGATTATGCTCAGAAAATGCACAAACTCTAATGTTTTAGTTCAGAGCAAGGCAGCCATTAAATAACTTAATTAAGTAAATTTAAACTGAGGTATTTTTTTTGAATTGGTGGGAAAATAACTACAAGCTTTTTTTTTTTTTTTTTATCATTATTCCAATTTGTTGTCAGATCAAATGATAAGCACAGTTTCTAACTGTTAAACTTTGGCAGCTTTCAAGTGTGCCCAACCAAACAAATACAAAATATAGATAGTAACTGGCGAGTATATAAAATCCAAAATTCATGTTCTGAATTTTCTGAGATATTAATAGATTTGTCTAACCCACCTAATAGTCTCCGACATCTTGTCATAGCTTTAGATTGGTTTGTAATTTATGTGGCATGTAGTTAATGGACATGTTTGTAACCAACAGAAAGAACAAAATACAACAATGTATTATCCTCTTAGTCATTTGTTTAGTTTTTGTAGTTTTATAGGTTAGATAACAAAACTTATTGTAATCACTCTGGGAAAGCACACTGGTCACGATTGTAAATTTTTTATTTATTTATTATTTTTTTTTTTTACACTAAATTATCAAACGTTATTACAGTAAATTACACTACACACACACACACACACACACACACACACACACACACACACACACACACACACACTGTAAACCAATAAAACTAAAAGAAAACAGTTGTGAAAATGTTAAAAGCTGAGGCTTTTAGGATAAATAATTGTCTGTTAGAGCCTGCAGTCATTCTTAAGGAAAATAAAAACAAATAAAGGTATGTTTGATTTATCTCTTATGAATTTACATTTCCTTGGTGTATCTATAGCTGTGCAAGCTCAATAATTCATGCAAAATTCTCCATATAATCAGTCAGCTGTTGTTCAACATTGTTTGCAAGGCTGATATTTTCCTTGCCATTAAAAGATCTCTGCATCCTAGGAAATGCTTCAAGTGAGAAAATGCCAAGAATAAAAGACACCTTGTGAATACACAATTCATGTGCAGAGCTAAATTACATTTATAAGTACATAGATAAATAAAAAGTTTTTTTTTCAGTAAAATTAAGTTCATTATTTTCTCCACCCTAACTCAATATGGACTTGGTTGATTTGACCAACTTTGTAAACACCATCATAAAGGTAGATTTGTTTCATATTTTTGTAAGTTATTACAGATTGTAACAGAAACCTACATTTGTTTATCCTAAATAGCTTAAGACTCTTAATAGTCTACATCTGTTACTAATTATTGTTCTATTGCCCTTCAAATCATATCTAACTAATAATTCTGCAACCAAAGTTATAAACCACTCAGAAAATTCATAACTCAAGTTACTGTATTCAATAACATAACACAAATTGCTCGTAAGCATATCTTGAAGAATTTTTTTTTATTATCGTACCTAAGTTTAATTTTTTACATTTTAGTCATTTGTATATACATTAAGAAACGTGTATATAAATGAAAAACAAAAAATAGTACTTTTATTTAACTTAGTTTCTTTTCTTTTTTTCTATTTTTGTTGTTGTTGGTTGCCAATGAGACTCAAGTCTTTTTTTTTTTTGGAGGGGGGTGGGGTGTGGGTACTAGTACACTGTTTTCATTTTTAATACACACACATATATAGACACACACACTTAAATAATACACCTGAGAATACAGAATATTACACACACAAAGCAAACAATGTCTTATGACTATTGTAATTTAATTTTACTTTACTATGACAAGGGGGTATTAAAACTTGGCTCCTTGATCCAAACACCCAGAAATAAAGTTTCAAACTCAAAGACAATTTATACTATGTACTGAAAACAACAAAGCATTAAATGTCATCCAATAGATCTAAACTTGCCCTTTTTATTAGTTATAAATAATACAAGGTTTCAAAGAGAATTATTGACTATGTGAAAGAGAGGATGAGACAGGTGGGACATGGTAAGTGGGTCCAATTTTCTAGTTCATGACTATGTAAACAAATATTGAAGGCTAAAGAAATTTTGCTTTGCCCATGTAATAACTATAATATAATGAGAAATTCATGTCAAATTCTGTACTTCAGAGAGAGGCGGTACATAAATTAAAAAACAGGAAGACCTAGGGAATGAATATCATGATTCTCATACTAGAAGTGATTGAGGATTTTAAATATTTACTTATAGAACTAAGAAACTAAAACTTATATAATATTAATATTTGATTTATTAACTATGTTTTGATATCCAGTTTATTTGTATACATTGACAATAAAGTAGTTTAATTAAATTTTAAATGCAACTTTGTAAAAATGTCATGACGTGCACTTTAAGAGGGTTAAAATATTTCTCAATTCTACTTAGCAAGTAGGCTTTTGAGAATTTTTTCTACTGAATTTTATTTTAAAAAGCAGAAGTGTATACACAGAATGAAAAGTGCTAAGACAGAGTTTCCCAAACTTTTCCAACCAGGGACCAGTTTATTTTTGTAATTTTTCATGAGGCCCAGCCTCCTCAAATACCTAATTAGATAACCTGCTAAGACATGGCTAAGGCTTAACATCAAGCTGGAAGCAATAGTTCTAAAAATACATCAATTATAAATTATACAGGTGTTTTATAGTACTACTGTGTAAAAATAAAAAAAAAAATTATATTTCATTGTTATATAATCTTTACATGAATTGTATATTTATTAATATTCTTTTAAGAAATAAGCTTACCTAATGAGAAGGATGATACTGTTTTTCATAATACAACAACTTCAAATCAGGGGAGGAAATCAGTTGTGACGAAGGGCATAAGAAATCTCACTACTTTTTCTGATAAATTTGGATACTGAGCATGACAGCTCAGCCAAACATTAATTACCGAGACTCGACTAAAATGGTCTTTCAATGTGGTGTCACAGGACAGTTCAATAATAAAAATCAATTTCTGATTCACCAAGTTGTAATCCTTCCGTGTCAACAGTAAAAGGGTTCCTGATTCACATTTTACTGCCATCTATTGGGGGAAAATATTCCTTCAAGCATGATTTTGAAATAAAAATATTTATGTTAGCACCTTGTAAATTTAGATTTTATGCATTTAAGAAGCCAAAAATGTCACATAAATAGGCCACCTTAATTAACAAATGCAAATTATGAAACCTGTCTCCAAATTCAAATATTGCATCCTTTGCTGATGGGAGATGTTGCTCCAAGAACATGATAACTTCATTTTTCATTTTGACGAGTCTTAAGACATTTCCTTTTGATAACCACAGACCTTCACAGCATAATAGGAGATTCTCACGTTCACTTCCTAATTCTTTGCACAAAGCAGTAAAGATTCTGAAATTCAACAAACGAGATTTTATATACTTTATGAATTTAACACATTCTTGCAAAGGTGAATTCAAAAGTAAGAGCATTTTCTTCACAGCTAAAGCCTCTCTGTGAATGCTAAAATGCACCCATTCACAGTGTGGTGCCACTGCTTGGATCCTCTGGGAAACCCCTGTATAGGAAACTGCCAATGCATGAGCACCATCTGTACTCAATCCAACACATTTTTTCCATTGAATACTACTCTGAATTATAAAATTATTGATTAAATTAAAAATTTCGTCACATGTTGTTCTTGTCGGAAGTGGTTTACAAAACAATAAATCTTCATGAATTGTGTCCTTATAATCATATCTTACAAAGCACATTAAATTGGCATTATCTGCTATGTCTGTGCTTTCATTCACTTGTAGTGAAAAAAATTTACTACAGTGAAGTCAATGTATAAGACATATTTTTTGCCATATTTACAATTCTACACTTCACTGTATTATTAGATAGGGACAGTAAATTGAACTGATTTTCTTGTTTTTTTTTAAGAAACAAAAGATATAATTATTTTCACTGCAGGAAGTATTAACATTTCACCAATAGTATGCAGATAACCTGACTCTGCTATTAGTTTTAAAATTTCATGTGAGGCCACAACCAAGTCTTCATTAGAAGATCTCGTGGAAAAAGTGTATAAAATTTGTTTGGAAAAAAAAAAAAAAAAAAAAAAAAAATTATGAAAAAATCTATTGGCTTACTCAAGTATTCTGGATGTCTGGTATCCAAATGGTGTTTCAGTTTCGTTGGTTTCACGCTCACTTGATAATGTTGAACAACAAAGAAAAGATAGTGGCAAGTCATTATTTCTACCACCACTTATAAAAACATACTTCAAATATTCATCACAATACTGTCGAGTCAAAGAGGTTTTTGTTTTCTTTGATACCAATCT